GCAGCATTGCTATGGGCTGTATATACACAGAAGCAAAAAATTACCCACGAGAACCAGCTGCTCATGTGGCAATAAGTGAGAGATCTCTGTTTGCTATTTTCGTAACTTCTCTATCAAGCCCTTATGTTCCTTAATTGATATTCAAGTTGTAGATATAGATAACTCTGTCTTTCTGTGGACTTGAATGCTATGGTATCTCCATTAAAAATATGTTTTTATGTTTTAAAAATCTATTCCAGTTTTTGTGCTGCCAATCTTATGCTGTACCGCTTCTATAATGACATCTCTCATTCACTTTGATTAGGAACTGTACGACGGTTCATTGAGAAACAGAAAGATAAAATAGAGGCAGTTGTTTTCTGTACAGCTACATCATCGGATACAGAGATTTATAAAAGGTATTCTTAGGGAATCGATTTTCTAGTAGAATATGGAGGGAAAGAGTTCTGTCAGTTTCTATTTATTTGGGAAGTCCGACCATCCACCTCTTGAGCGCTATATGTAACTTTGTTCTGCAGATTGCTTCCGCTCTACTTTCCTCGGGATAAGCATGAAGAGGAAGTTGCCCTATTAAAACTTCCTGCAGATGTTGGGGATGAGAATGGGGAGACAACTATAGATGAACGTAAAATTAGAATAAAACCGTTACCGAATGCAAAAAAGTCCAGTCCAAGGGTTCCGCAGGCCTCTGTTGATCTTTCCGTCAGTAATGTTGGTTTGACCAGGTTAGTGATGAATTCTGCATCCACATTATATTATACATATAAGAGTCACGTGGGTGATATAAGGGAAGTCTTGAAGTTGGTCAAAGTTCCAAAACTGACTTCATTACAAGCACCCTCCCGTTTTAGTTTTTTTCTCTTTGGAGCTAGGATGACATTGACGGAGAAAGTCCTTGTTTACTGGATTACGAAAAAACTCCTCCTTTACTTGACAAATAATAGCACGTAGTGGTTCCAGGCTGTTGTACAATTTTTTTGTCTTTATCAGCTTTAGGTGTCACATTTTAAACAAAATAAGTAGCAGTTATACTCTTTGAGATAGACGTCAAACCTTGAACTAAACTGTTCAGTCGTAAAAAATGAAAACAAATTGGATCAACTTTTCCACAAGTGTTTTACTGGATAGTAGCATGAATTCCAACTTGTAAATGCTTTGGACATAGAAGGTTCTTTCTCCTGGTTCTGGGATAGAATATAGAAGCTTACCCCTAAACAAATAACAACTTCCATCCATATTCTTCTCTTACAATCTTGGAGCACGTTGTCATCAAGATAATATTACCTTTTCACTGTTAAGCACATAACTTAATATTCATTGTGTCAGCTTGGGAAAAAAAGAAATGAAGTGAAGCACTTTGAAGCTACTATCCTAATACTTACAGATCAAATTGCGCCCCGTATTTGGTGTTTTATCTGAGTGTTACAAAACTGAAATCGAACTGAAGTTTGATGGTAAATGATAAAGTAATTGTCATTAAGAGTTTAGACAAGAAACGTCTTGTTACTTTCACGGTGGATAATTACTTTGATGAATATGTTCATTCCTGATGGATTTTGTCATCTGCTTTCACCATTCAAGTCTTAGTTGTTAAGAATGTGCCTTTTTTATCATTGCTTTTACTGAAATGAATTTTTTAAGTAGGAGCTCATCCTATTTGGATGCTTTTCTGGACCCTGCTTTTATGTCCTTGATCAAGGACCCTGATCAGCGACGGAGAGAACAATGGGAAAAAACTGCCCAGGCACAAACTAGTTGGAACTTCTTTAAAATGCTTGGATATGGTGATGTTGCAGGACCGCCTTTGTCACCCGCAGAAGAATACTCGCTTCATTCTAGATATCTTGCAAAAGCAAATACTCTGAACCTTTCAGAAATTGCAGAAATGAAAATTGTGTAAGCAGTTTTGCTGTATATATATGTCTCCGAGGACATTCTCTTTTTGTCCATGGTTCCTATAATACATAAAGATCTGTGTCCAGTTGTCCAAATATTAACTTGTTTGAGCATGATGTGGTTTAATTGATATGTCATCTTACCATACAACTAGCAAAGTCTCGTTGACATATTTATAAGCTAGTCCATTAGAACTTGTGTTATATTCTTCAACTTCCATGTTGCCCTTTGACTTCGTTTCAGCTACCGAGGAGGGGTTGACAGTGAAGGTCGTCCAGTAATGGTTGTTGTGGGGGCACATTTCCTGCTAAGATGTCTTGATCTTGAGAGATTTATTCTCCATGTTGTAAAGGTATGTGATAATTACTTGCTTAAGACTTAAGTTAGATTTTGTTTTGACGACTATGGGTTTTTTCCCCTTTAAAATAGGTTGGATAGGATCTATTATCTATATCCATTGAGTGGTTCAGTAATTATTATATGTCAATTTTCAGGAGTTCGAACCATTAATACAGAAGCCTTACTCTATTGTGTACTTCCATTCTGCTGCAACCTTACAGATGTGAGTATCATCCTTCTCACACTGGCCTTGTCTCCTTACTCGATACGATGAATAAACCTCTTCGTGTGTCTTTGGTGAAGTTGCTTCTCTTTATTGACTTGTCAATAAAAGTTTAAACTTCTAATGTGTATTTTTCTTTCTTTTAATGGGTAGTATTATATAATATCTGCTCTTTTTCTACCATCTTCTATTAATTTCAGAGCAAAGTGGTATATCATTGCTATAAAAAATTTCTCCTTTTTCATTCTGGTTTTTGGGATCCTTTCATGACCATATGGTCTGCTGTTAAGTATCAAAACTTTCTATACAATACGTCATTTCTAATCCCTATGCTTTTGAGATAGTTAATATATCAAAGGAATCCTTTCTAGAGTTCATTCTCCCATTTGCTTTGTGAAGTTAGTTGTATTTAACACGGGAACATGGAAATGTGTTTTTAACCTTTGACGTCACACGGCGTGCACATTTTTAACAATTCTTGTTTATCACTTTTTTTTTTTGGGGGGGGGGGATAACTTTCACAATTCCGTTGTCTTGTAATGTTACTAAATATTATTTTATTGTACCAAAACAGACAACCAGATCTAGGATTGATGAAGAGAATACAACAAATACTCGGCCGCAAGCACCAGCGCAACCTTCATGTATGCTATGCTTCCCCCCTTGTTCCCCGGTGTTGGAGTTCACTTGCCATGATACAAGTACTTGACTTGCTGTAGTCTAAATCTCCTTTTTCTCTGGGCAGGCGATATATGTTCTTCACCCTACTTTTGGACTGAAGAGTGCAATAGTTGCACTACAGCTCTTTGTGGATAATGTGGTATTTAACAGTCCTATTACCTTCCTCCTTTTCTTTTCTCTAATAAAGTCAACTTACTTATTTCTGAATGCTCTTTACCTTTTGCACGGATGTCAGGTATGGAAAAAAGTAGTGTATGTAGATCGTCTTCTGCAACTATTCCGCTATGTTCCTCGTGAACAGCTAACCATCCCAGATTTTGTATTCCAGTTAAGTCAACATTCTGCTAACGATTCATTTTTCTGATTATAATTATGAGTTTCAAATCTTCAAAAAAAAAAAAAAAAAAAAAAAAAAAAAGATTACACCTCAGTAGTTGCTCCATCCAGAAGGTACCAGTCTCATTTCTTTGTGTGTAAAAGAAGTGAGTAGATTAAGTTGAACTAATTATCGTGTTCCTGTTGCAGGCATGATTTGGAAGTAAATGGAGGGAAGGGCCTAATTGTGGATCCAAGAACTAAGTATGTTTATCAGAGACCATAGACGCTGTGTCAAGTGTCAACTGAGCTTCACAACTCAAACTTCATTTATTATAGACGTTGTGGAAAAAAATTCACTTTATTTGCTCGTCTTTTCTTCTTCTTTTTATTTTTTATTTTTTATTTTTTGTGCAGTGTAGAGGTTGTAATTGGTCTTGTGCAATATTAGCAGTTATTTAGGTCAGTTTATGTCTGTAATTTGATTCATTTATGCAATCAGATGTCCAGTCTTGTGCATGCAAATGGAAATAAATTTCTCTATTTCTGTGACAATTGAGATGTCATTTGTGAGTCCTTAAAGAAGACTTGACCTTACGAATATTTGTTCAAGACTGAACCAGCCTTTTATTTTATTTTCGGTTATTTACCCGTACTTTTCTTTTCTTTTCTTGTTTTATTTTCATTATACTGTTTTATGGTGAGGTGCGTTCGTGAATAGCGCAAGGGGAACTAGAAGAGGGTCTTTTGTTGGATTAAAACAAGAGTGTTCTTTGGTTGTACCTATTAGATAAAATAATGTATGCATTACTTTTGTGTATTAATAATACGTTGTTTGATACACATTTTGAACCTATACATTAGTTATTCAAGCATTAGTTGTGAGCACGTATTTTTTGCCCTACATAGGAAATTACTCCTAAAAATATTCAAAATAATTATTAATTCCTTTGCAGAATTTTAGGAATTTTATTTGTGTATTTAATCTCATTTTATTGCATTAATAGATCATTTGCATCATTAGGAATATTTTAAAACCGTCAAAAACATTTTATCATTTATCTTTGCATTTCTAGATTTTTATTTGTAGTTTTAAGGGCATAATTACATAAATACATGATTAAAATACAAAAAGAAATAGATTAGTTTGTTTTGCCTTGTTTTGCATTTTAGGTTCAAATTAGTTAATTGAGTTGTTAATCCACAATTTAATTAGTTTAATTGTTAAATAGTTCATGTAATAGGTTAATTGTGCAATTCAAGTTCTCAATATTATGTTAGGTAATTAGTGGCTAAAATGGAAAAAGAAAAGAAAAAAGGAGGGCCTGGTTTGAGTTTAAAACCAGACTGGCCCTATGTTTTATGGCCCAAACTCCCCCAAAATCCGCCCCAGTCCAAGTCCAACATCCGATCCGGTCCCCCACTACGTCAAACGCGTTGGGCGTAGATTAATCCTAGCCGTCCTTCAAAACCAATCCTACGGCTCAGAACTCACTCCCCATCCCCCTTAAAGATGTCGGATCAACCCTCCCCCAAACCCCAACCCTCAAACGCTCTTCTCAGACCCCTTCTCACCCTCTCTCATCCTCCGCCGCCCGCCGGGAATCGCCCACAACGGCGGGCCACCTCCAAACACCACCAAAACATCACCAAACAATCACCATTCTTCCCGCATGCCTCCCATACCTTCAATTTCCCCAGAAAACCACCCAAACTCCCCAATTAGTAGATCTAGGAAGGTATTAAAGCCTAATCTGTCCCCTTTTCGATTTCTAGGCCTTTTTCAATTCGTCTTGACTTGAAACTTACGTTGATCGATTTCTCTTGACGAGTGTAATCGATTGACGTTAGTTTTAGCTCACTTCGAAGTCGCCGGAGTCCGGTCAAACACCGTTGACCAGCCAGAATTCAGTCGCCAATGTTTGATTCGAGTTTCTTCAAGAAGGTATTCTCTAATTTTGTTTTCTTTTGTTTCAGCTGCACGTTTAGGTCAGGTCTTCATTTTCAGATTAACATTAAATGTTCTTAGTTGTTGCATAATCGATTAGTAATTCCCATTTTATGTTGTAGTGTATTATTTCTATGCTTAGTCATTAAGTTTTGAATTGATTGTTAGTTTGGTAGTTTTTGAGTTTTGACACTGTTTTTGGGGCATGAATTAGTCATTTAAGAGTTTTTTATTTCGTTTTTAACAGTTTAATGGTTGTCTAAATATGTAGTTTAAATTATTTGTTTAGTTCAGAAATCCGTTTCATAATTAGGGTAAGTAGTTTAGGTCTATAAAGGGTTTGAAGGTTTGGGCTTTGATCTTGGGCCTGTAGTTTGAAGCCCAGGCATTTATTTGGTGCTGTCAGGTGTTAAGCAAGAGTCTAAAGGGTGATTTTGGAATTAAACTAAGGGAATATTTGTTGTTAACAACCTAGAAGGTTCCAGGAGATAGGGAAAGGACTAATTTGCAAGAAAAAGAGTGAGCAGGTCAGGTATTTGGGGTCTGAGGGAATAATAAACAAGTATTTGAGGGGGTAAAATAGAAAATAAAAAAGGACTGAAAAGAAAGGAATTAACAAAAAGAGAATCTGAAAATCAGTTATAAAAAAGGACTCACACACAGAATTCTGGACACACGCAATAGACACTCCTCTCACACACACGCCTCTTAGCATATAGAAGCATCCTGAATTTTTGAATTAAAATCCTGGATCTGGAAATTCAAAAGCTGAAAAAACAGAAAAAAAACACAAAAAAAAACACAAAAAAAATTCAAAGTTGTTTCCAATTTCTACCTTTTGTTGCAAACTTTCTCGATTTTGAAAGTTGTTTGTGTATGAAGAAATTGCTGTTTCTGCTGTTCACTGTAGCCGAGCTTGGTTCTTTGGAGTCCAGACCTTTATTTGGTCATTTCTCTACTGTTTTCTGCTTTTAGGTATGTAAATCTTCATCTGTATTCTCTTCTCTGAATCTATGGATGACACATTGATTTGTTCATGATGCGTTTATACCTAATTTCCTGGATTCAGTTTGCCTAATCCTGAAACTTGCTTGTATTCCTTTTCTACTTGCTTGTATTCCTTTTCTGATCAATACTTAATGCTGCAAATGTGATTCAGTTGAGAATTTCAGTAGTTGGATAGTTTATTGATTAGAAGCGAGAAAATTGAAACTCTGTCAATGATTATGAATCTGTGAGATTGATTAAAACTCGTTTGAGCTCATGTGATTGTTTGTATTGAAAGTCATGCCACGCAGGTATAATCTTCAATTAAGTCGTATGCATCAGTTGGATGTTTGAATCCTGTGATTATCTTAAGGCTGCTGAAGTTCATCTTATGATAGCTTGATATTGAAGTTAGAATGTAGAACTAGTGAGTTACAGCTTATGGTTTGTATACACACGTGTGGTCTGTATTTTTAATTTCAGTTGTTATGGCATTAAATTTGTAATCATCTAGTCTTAATCTGAATTTCCTACTAGGTGGTTAGTTCATGCTATAAAATTGGTCGAGCACGTATACATTGCTATAATTTCACGCTAAGAACAACTGGAATAACTAATCCCCAACAATAATTGATTAGGGTAATGTTTCCCTTTTAGAGCTTTGATATAATAAAATAGTCATGTAGGGTTTTTGTCTAAGATAGCCCGTGGCAATGTTGTGTCTTACTATTTTGCTTTTCAGTGCATGTCCTATTTACTAGCTATCGCTTTTGCTTTGCATCTTTCTTCTAGATTTCATGGTGTTCCTATTTTTTGGTGATACTAATATTTACTAATATTGTCTCCCTTTGCTTTGCATCTTTCTTCTGGATTTCATGGTGTTCCTATTTTTCCTATGATTGTTGTTGTGATATTAATATTGTCTCCTTTTTGTCCTTTTGTCTTTTTGTTTTTTTGAGCCGAGGGTCTTTCGGAAACAGCCTCTCTACTCCTTCGGGGTAGGAGTAAGGTCTGCGTACACACTACCCTCCCCAGACCCCATTAGTGAGATTTTACTGGGTCGTTGTTGTTGTTGTTGTTGATATAATAAAATAGTCGTGTGATCTGTATACTCATGCATTGATGTTTAGAGCCTTGTTAATTGTTTCTGATTTTAATAATCAAGTTTGCTATCACGTGAAAAATCAATTGAAGTGTTAACAAGTTAACGGGCTACTATTCTATAAATAATTAGGCCCAGTATATCGCCTATACAAGGCAACCCATGAGAGTCCATCAGACTCTACAATAATGGGAGAAATTCAAAAATAGCTAGATTTACAAGTGGTAATTGAAAAATAGCCACAGTTTCAAAAGTAATTGAAATTTTGTCATTTTTCATGTAAAGATAAATCTGAACGAAAACATTGTTCAAGATCCGGAAAATATTCCAGCATAATATACTGGAGTTTCAGTATAATATACCGGTCCAGCATAATATGCTGGGAGTTCATACACAGGTGTTCCAATCTCCAGTATATTATGCTGGAACTTTTCGCGTGTTGGAGTTCTAGCATAATATGCTGGGAGTTCATACACAGGTGTTCCAATCTCCAGTATATTATGCTGGAACTTTTCGCGTGTTGGAGTTCTAGCATAATATGCTGGAAGTTCATATACAGTTGCATCAATCTCTATTATATTATGCTGGACCGGTCCGTGTTGCAGCAAAATAGTAGTTATTTTTCAATAAATTTGCAAATGTTGATTATTTTTGAATTACCAATCCGAAAACTGGCTAGCCCGTGCTATTTTTACTATAATAATAGAGTAATTTATTTCAAATATTCATGGGCCCGGAGTACGTCAACTTGGCCCAATTTGGTTTACCAATCAAAGCACCGATGCCTGTTTTAGTTTCAACTTTAGTTAATTAAGTCACCCAGATGCCGTTTATCTTATGGGCATTAGAATCTTGACCTTTGTTCATTCGTTCTTAATTTTCAGTAATGAAAGAAACGCACACTTGCCCACAAAGAAAGTTCCATAATTCTGGACTTGTCACAATAATCTCAAACTTGGGAAAATAAACAATATATGAACATCGTAGCTTGCTTTAGACGCGATTAATAATAAATTATTGTGATTATGGGTACAGTTTTCGTGGCATAGTCATGATACATTTAATCCCAAATTCGAGTGCACGCCTATGTGACTTGACCTACAACTTCAAATAATAATAAAATAAAAATGTTGTAAATTGCAGGCGCGTTTCACGTGGCGCGATTTGCGATATGTATAAACAACAGATGTGCGACATCGTAACTTGTTTTAAAACAATTCCATAAATACTTTAAGCGGTTCAAAATATATAGTTAAAAGTGGTAAAAGGTTCAAATGCACATAGGTTTGAAACATGTAATAATCAGATAATTAAGCCGAGTGTAATGGTAAAGCGACCGTGCTAAAATCACAGAATTTGGGAGTGCTTCACATCTTCTCTCGGGTTAACAGAATTTCTTACCCGGTCTTCTGTGTTTCACAGACTTATACGGAGTCAAACTTTCCTTAATTTGGGATTAAAAATAAATGGCGACTTGGGACGCCGTAATTAATCATTCCAAGTGGCGACTCTTTAAATAAAATAAAATAATCTCATTTCAATAATGTCATTTAAATCGGAAAAACTCCTTCCCTTTTCCCGTAAAAAGGAGGTGTGACATTAGTTATACACCGTATGTGGTATTATGCTATGCATAACTAATGCATAAGAAATCATGATATTAACAATGAAATGGGTTTTAATGTATCCATTAGCTTAGCTAAAGACAAATTTATCCTTCAAAATTTATTCTTGATTGAAATATGCTATTATATTAATGCGAGTTTGAAATAATCCAAGAAAGCGGAAAATGAAATTATATCCCTAGTAAATAAATAAATACTTAACATATTTTCTTTTTTTATAAATAAATATTCGATTCTATACTACAATATAAGCAGACAAATCAAATAATTTTTTTAAACCTTTTTCATATAAAAACATTCCTCAATATATGTTTCTTTTAAAAAGATAAATGATGGACTGATTTATGAGGGTATTTTTGTAAACAAACAATTCTTTTAGAAATTGTGCAATGCTTTAATACATCAAACCACACGATGGATAAGAAATATGTCCGCATAACTAATACCAACACTATTAATACACCTTATTCAGCATTATTCTTATACACTCTGCCAAACGACCCCTTAGTTTTCTTGGTGGATGGAGAATTAGCAAAATATTAAGTAATGCACCACTTGGGTACTCCAACTTGCCTTTCAGTTTCCTCATTCAAAGCTAAAACAGTGATCTTGAAGGTAGTGTTCACCTTTAAACCATCTGAAACTGAATCAAGAAAGATCGGAAATCTAATCTTTTGACTACTGATCCATTCCAGTATTGATAATGTATCATGATGTATGTATATCCAGATATATTACTCAAAAGAATGAAGTGCATTACATGTCTGTACTGTCCATGCCAGAGTGAAAATGAAAATTGAAGATGTAGATAGGGGAGACTCGATCTTTGTTGCAGTGTAGCTTTCTACTCAAACATCTGAAAATGTTACTAAATACAGCCGTTCTAACTGGTTGCTACCAGAGATGCACCAGTATTAGCCACTTTGTTCCAGGAAACTTGCTCAGTGTCAATGAATTTACTCCAATGAGTAGTTACTTACAAAATCTCCTTTAGGTCTGAGTAATATCTAAGCGGGGTAAAGAAATCTGCTACTGTAACATCATCCAAATCAGAAATTCTTGCAAGGGTAGCACGATTATTCTGTATTTTTCACTCAAAAATGTCATTCCACATGAGGGTCTGAGAACCATCAGCTAAGAACAATCTCGTCTAGGGTATAATGTTAGTCACACAATGGAGATCGATGTACATTCGAATTGCCAGAAATTCTGCCAAGCATAGCATTCAACACTTGTGTCCAGAATTTCCATAGCTAATTTTTCAATCAGCAAAATAGTGTAGAAGAATACAGTGATAGCACCTTCAAGAGAGATCCATCCTCAAGTTTAAAGGCTTACAGGTTCACAAGCCAACATTTCTCAACCCAAATTCCAAAGGCTAACGTGCAATACTAGGAATATCTTCAGATTCATGTATATCCAATCTTCCCCTAAAAGTTCTCTCTCCACAAAGTTTTGAGAGCCAAAAAACCATCCTAAGTGGCTCCTTAAGTTTCAAGCTCGGCAACGTCAACAAGTCCAGTGGAATCCCACAAGTTTGGGTCCGGGGAGAGTAGTGTGTACACAGACCTTACCCCTACCCTTAGGAGGTAGAAAGGCTGTTTCCGGAAGATCCTCGGCTCAAGAAAATCCTCAATTCCAGGCAAGTTGGGATTAGCTATATAAAATCCTCACTGTCCATGTCGGAAAACTTCAATTCAGTTAACCTGGCAACTAGATTGAAGTGGATAAAATTTTGAATTTGAACTCACTCAAGTTCTGCCTGCAGTCAACGAGAGCTGTAATTTACCCTTGATTAAGGTTTCTGTGGCAAATGTTTCTGTAAAAGCTATTTTAATAGTCCCCAACAAGGTATGATGCTAACTTCTTCCGAGGGCGGATAATCATTCCAGGCAGCTAATGTCAAATGTTCCTCGGAAATAATTAAGCAATAGATGACACCCTCAGACAGTCGTTTTCGCAATCCATGTTAACCTGGCTACACCCAGGGGACTTGTTCAAACCTTTGCTCTTCATCAACTCTCTCATTTGATAAGCCTGACTCCATCTCCCATCAGAGGCATATAAATTTGACATAAGCACATAATAACAAGCATCATGAGGAAGCAACTCCAGCATTTTTCTCACTGCCACCTCCCCTAAGTCAAATCTGGTGTGAATACCACATCCATGAAGAAAAGCACCAAACACCGGAATATCAGGTTGAATTGGCATTTTGTCAATGAAATCCAGGGCTTCCTTAAGCCTTCCAGCACGAGCCAGTAAATCAACCATACATGTATAGTGCTTCATGGACGGAACAAACCTATATTCCTCACACATTGTATAGAAAAATCTCCATCCCTCCTCTATCATCCCTCTATGGCTGCAAGCAGATAGTATCGAAGTGAAGATTATATCATTAGGTTCAAAACTTTCCCTGATCATATCACTGAGAAGCGCAAAGGAATTCCTGCAGTCCCCTTGCATTGCATAGCCACCTATCATCGAATTCCACGTCACTGCATTCCTATCTGTCATCTCATCAAAAACACGAGCAGATTTTGCATCACCAGATCTAGCATACACATTAACAAGTGCAGTACCTACATATAAATTAGACGATAAAAGACCCTCTTTGATAATAAAAGCATGAAAAGAAGAACCAACTCTAAGATTCGCAAGTGAAGCACAAATTGATAGGACAGACACCATTGTAAATTCATCCGGCTGAAGATGTTTAGATCTCATTCTATGAAACAATATCAGACCCTCCTTAGCAGATCCATTCAACGAATAAGCAGAAATAAGTGAATTCCAGGCAACTACATCATTGTGTGCGAAGTTCTCAAATAAGCAACGAGCATCTGCCATTGCACCACACTTCGCATACATGTCCACTAAAGCATTTGTCACAGTAGCCTCATACAATCCTAGCTTAATCCTGAGAGTGTGGACTGATTTTCCCAACTTCAGATTGTTCAACTGTGCACATGCCGAAAGTACACTAGAAAGAGTGATTGAACTAGGCAATATTCCTTGCCATTTCTCGTCTGTAAAGAGTTTCAGTGCCTCATCTGGATAGCCACTTTGACTATATCCAACAATCATTGCTGTCCACGTAACAAAATCATTTGCACAAAGCTCATCAAAAATCACACGAGCCTCAGCAGTAGCTCCACATTTCATATACATATCTACCAGAGCTGTAACCAGGTAGGAATTTAGTTCAATCCCACTTTTTATGATATGCCCATGAACCCATTTCCCTTGATGTAAAGCTCTCAATTTAGCACATGCCGTTACTATACTCCCCAAAGTATATTCATTACCTTCAACCAACCCATCCCTCATCCTACTGAATAAAACCAACCCTTCTTCAGCACAATCATTCTTTACATAACCAACAATCATTGAAGTCCAACAAACCACATTCCTATCCAAAATATCATCAAACACATCACGCGAAGATTCGACCTTTCCACACTTAGCATACATATCAACAAGCCCAGTCAACACAAAACTATCAGAATTTCCACCTTTCACAATATGGCAATGCAAATTCCTACCTTCATCAATATCACACAACTCACTACAAGCCTTTAAAACGATTGAAAACACGACATTGTCAAACAAAGTGAGACCTTTTCTCATGAAATTATAAAACCCAATAATCTCATCATACTTATCGTTCATAAAATACCATCTTATCATTGCTTTACAAGAAAAAAGATCTGGGTTTGGAATTTCATCGAACAGTTTGCGGGCATTCTTTAAGTGCCCAAATAGTCCATATAAACTAATTAACTTTGTTTTTAAGAGGACATCATGCGTTTCGCCGTGAACTATGAAAAGGGCATGGATTTTTTTGAGAGAAGAGAGGGTTCTGCAAAGACTCAGAAGTGCAAAACATGGGTTTGATGATATTGATGCCAAGCTTGATTCGGTGCCTATGGTGTTCGGCAGGAAATTTTGGCTGATTCTTGTTGAAGTAAAAGCTCTATATTGAGTGAAGTGAGAGAGTTGTTTTTGCAGTTGAATGAAAATTTTCATACTTCATCCTTCACTGCCGCTGGGGTTGGCTGGGTTCTTGATTTTTCAGTTACAAGCTTCCCGCTATTACGCAGGCGTATTCTGAATATTTCAAAACTTAATAAGTACATAAAATTGTTTCTTTTAATTTACTTCTTTTCTATATATAAAATCAGGATGTCTATTTTTCCTTTTTCATTCTTTTTCTTAGATACTACTGAGAGATAGCACAAGCTCAAATGGATAAACTAACAAAATTCAAGTTAATTGATGATTTAACTTTATATTACGCACATTTGAGTTTCATTAAGAAATTTAATCCTTGTTTTATTTACTGAAATTTAGTGTCTAAAATACTGGTGAAATATTGAAAAAATTATTTAAGAAGTATCTCAAGCGAAATAAATGCTTTTAGTCACAAATGCTTTCATTAATTTTTTTTTAAGTCAAGTTCATGTGGTAGACATATAAATTTTATTAGAATTAAATTTATTAAATAATTTAGACTATATTTAAATGCAAGATATATTAGGCCAAATAAATATTATGGGCTAATATAATTGAATTAATTTTATAAGTCCAATACATATGGATTAAATAAATAAGTCTTAATCCATTGGGCTAACCCATTTAATTGGGCTAAAGTGATGAGCCCACTTCATTAAGCCCAAGATGTCATCTTCCTAGAGGCCCAGTTTGGTGCCACGTGTCAAATGACGTGGAGCGCCAAGTCAAACAGAAGAGTCAATAGGATCATGCTACGTGTCAAAATGACAAGCCATGCCAAGTCACATTAAAAGGCCAATGAAATTGCGCCAAATGTGCAAGTGACATGTTCTGGCCAATCAAATGCGGCCTTATCACTCTTCAATCTGATTGGTCGGAAAGAGTTTGTTCTTATCATAACTCTTCCCTCCCACAACTATAAATATGGGTCTTCATAACCCAGAAACTACACCAGAAGTTATAACAAGAAGCAAGAAAGAGCTCGTGGATCAAACGCTGAAAATTTCTCCACAAGTTTCAAGCTTCAAGAAATCAAGTTCAAGCTCAAGGACGAAGAACAAATCAAGTTCAAGCTCAAGAACGAAGAACAAACCAAGTTCAAGCTCAAGCTCAAAAACGAAGAACAAATCAAGATTCAAGGAGTACGAGTTCAAATCAAAGTTTGTGCTAGTTGAATCCAAGATCATCATCTGTGGCAATAAATATAGGTTCAAGATCAAGCTCAAATGCCCTTAAATTTATATTGAAAAAGTAGAATCAGAGGAACCATAAAGATTGTAACACTCTACGATTGTTGCAATATTTTTTGGTCTCGATTATTTTCTAGACGCAATGTATTGTCTCCAAATTCTAGCACGCCCGGTGGGACAATCTCTACCTCTCATCTCAACTTTTCAATCACCAAAGTTCAAGAATATCGAAATGGCTTAGCAGAAAATCAACTCCAGATCAACGTCCACTAAGCCTACTAATTTCAAGTTCTACGCTGATGTGGAAAGCACCTTCGATGTTACCTTTGGAAGCTATGGCCTGATTACAAGGAGGAAAGCAAGATCTTTAGGACAACAAGCACTCCAAGTGTCGTCCACATTAACCCCTATATTTGGATCTTCATCCTCAAAATGAGCAAGATCCTTTACAAGCACGACCCAAAAAGGGAACGACGTCGCCAAAGGGATAGAAAAGGTTCTTGCCCAACTTAGTTCATCTAAGTCCAAGAAACCTTTCATGCAAGCCGATGATGATGACTTGAGCGTTGGATCTACTCTAGTCAACATTAACGCGACATCTAAGCTCTATCCCAATAATGATCCATATCATTATTCATCCTCTACGGCGATCATGCAAGCAATGGTTATTGAAGCTTCTACGATAGACGGACAACTTGAAAATTTGACTAAAGTCGTTGAAGCCTTGTCAAAGCGCGTGCAAGATCAAGATGCTAAACTTTCCAAGTTAACAAATAAGTTGGATAGTATAGTAGAAGAAGAATCCACACAAGAACCTTTAAATCTTCAAAGGTCACATGAGAAAGGAGACTCATCCGAAAAGTAAGCAACAACAACTAAGGAGATCCAAGTCTCCGTTGAAGGTCTGATTCCCGTTGAGAAATTGAAGGACTATATCATGGAGGCTATCAAAGATAATCCTGAGTTGACATCCAAAATATCTCTCACATATGCAAAGCTGTATACGCAAAGAATTGATAACTTGAAGATGCATGTTGGTTATCAACCTCCTAAGTTGTAACAATTTGACGGCCAGGGAAATTCGAAACAATATGTAGCGCACTTTGTTGAAACTTGCAACAATGGTGGAACGTACAGTGATTATCTTGTCAAACAATTTGTTCGATCTCTTAAAGGTAGTGCATTCAATTGGTACACAAATCTCGAATATGGTTCCATCGATAGTTAGGAGCAGTTAGAGCATGAGTTTCTCAATCGTTTCTATAGCACAAGACACATCGTAAGTATGATCGAACTTACAAACGCTCGTCAACGAAAGGATGAGCCAGTTATTAACTTCATCAATTGCTGGAGGAGCTTAAGCCTTAACTACAAATATTGCCTTAGCGAAACTTCTGGCATCAAAGTATGCATTCAAGGCATGCATTGGGGTCTTCGCTATATCTTACAAGGCATAAAGCCGAAAACATTTGAAGAACTAGAAACTCGTGCTCATGATATGGAACTAAGTATGGACCCATGTGGAGACCAAGAGCTACCTATCTTTGGGCCTTACGATGAAGAAGAAGAACAAGAAGGCGAGGATGAGGGCAAGTTTTCATTCGAAAATGAAATCGAAGAGTCTATGTATGTCACTATACTCCTTAACGCATGAGCCTAAACTGCAAGTTATAATGCTCCTTAACGCATGAGCCTAACCTGAAAGTTATAATGCTCCTCAACGCACGAGCGTAAACTGCAAGTTGTAATGCTCATCAACGCACGAGCCTAAACTGCAAATTATAATACTTCTTGGCACATGAGAATATATTGTATGTCACGAAGCTCCCCAATTTTGAACTAAATCTTTTAGGCGTAAAGCTTTTCAAATTCGAGCAAAGTCTTCAAGTCACAAAGCTCCTCAAATATGAGCAAAAACTCAAGTCGAAAGCTCTTCAAAGTCGAGCAAGAACTTCAAATCGTAAAGTTTTTCAAATTCGAGCAAAACTTCAAGATGTAAAGCTCTTCAAATTCGAGCAAAATCTTCAAGTTGTAAAGCTATTCAAATCCGAGAAAAGTCTTCAAGTCGAAAGCTATTCAAAGTCGAGCAAAGACTTCAAGTCGCAAATCTTTTCAAATTCGAGCCAAACTTCAAGTTGCAAAGCTCTTTCAACTTTGAGCTAAATCTTCAAGTCACGAAGCTCTTAAAATTTGAGCTAAATCTTCAAATTACTACGCTACTTAACGTAAGAGCATAAATTGTATGTTACTCCTGGACCGCAAGAGTATAAACTGTGTACGGCCCTAAAAAACGAGTTTGCTAGGTTGAAAACGTCGAAAGATGCGGCCTAGGCAAAAGTTTAGGACATATAAAAAAATCACCTATTCTGAACTACAGTATGACTTGATCCTCTTCACCGAGGTACGTAGGCAACTTAGAGTTTCATTCTAAGTTCAGTCGCATAAGTTCAAAAGATACATATTGCCCCCATTATTGTCCGAGTGAAGTATGAAGGAATGTAAAATCAAGATGAAACAACATTCTTCTGTTGAACTTTGGATCTCATTTGATTTAAAGGGGGCAACCCTCCATGGTAAATTGGTATCTTCAATCGGATGACTTTAGGAGGATGCCAAGTATTTGCATTAAAGTTCGGGGATTCGCTATGTCTTCATGTTCGATAAACCTTCAAGTTTATTGGTCTTCAAGTCCACCGTCCTTCAAGTTGAAGTCTGCAAGTCTACCCATTTTTAAGTTGAAGTATTCAAGCCCTCCAAGCCTTCAAGTACATCGGTCTTCAAGTTTAGTTGTTTAAGACCTCTAATTCTTTAAGTTGAAGTCTTCAAGTCTGCTAATTCTTCAAGTTGAAGTTTAAAGTCCATCGCTCCTCAAGTTGACGCGTCAAAGTCCGCCAAATCTTCAAGTTCATCAAATCATCAAGTTTGTCGGTCTTCAAGTTGAGTTCTACAAATCCACCAAGTCTTTAAGTTGACGCTTTCTAATTCTCCAATATTAAGGTGGGCGTTTCAATCCCTTTGCACCTTAAGTTGGCTTCTTTACGGTTTGTCCTTAAAAGGAACTATAATTTTTCAATCTTAAGGTGGATGTTTAAATCCCTTTGCGCCTTAAGTTGGCCTCTTCACGGGTTTGTCCTTAAAAGGAACTATAATTTTCCAATCTTAAGGTGGATGTTTAAATCCCTTTGCGCCTTAAGTTGGCCTCTTCACGGGTTTGTCCTTAAAAGGAACTATAATTTTCCAATCTTAAGGTGGGTGTTTAGTCCCTTTGCACCTTAAGTTGGCCTCTTCGTGGGTTTGCTCTTAAAAGGATCTGTAATTTTCCAAGCTTAAGATGGATATTTAAGTTCTTTTGCACCTTAATCCAGTCTTGTTATGAGTTGATCCTTCTATACGCTGTTGAAAATTTGTCCTTCTATATGGTGATGTGGATTTGTCTGTCTATATGGTGATGTGGATTTGTCATATATGTATTGCGATGTATATAGAAGGACCAACTCGTAATAACTTGAAGATGTAGTCCTAAGTCAGAGCCTTAAGGTTAGGAAACTCCATGACTTCTTCACCAAGTTCCAAAAGAAGTTACTCCTCGCCACTGCCGCAAGGATGGAATATGGTTGGTCTAAGCCTCTTTCTCACCAAGCCGCAAGAAGGAGACACACATGTACTGCTTTCTCAAGCCGCAAAAAGGAGATGAATCACGTGCTTCTTCGAGAGAGGTGGATATACCAACTAGTCCCTCGCCTAGGTCACAAACTGTAAAAGGAAGGCACCTCTCACCAGAGGATGAACTTTCAAAGCAAGAACTTCGGCGCGCGAGTTTTGCTTGCCGCCAACGATCTCAAGGAACGGGTATGGCGTATCATGACTGAAGTGCATCTTTGCCTACGGGGTTCAAGTTTCTCTACGCGTTTACAATCTGCAAAAAAACAAAAAAAGATTAGTAAATATTAAGTCAACGATAATTGACAAAATGAGGAGAAGATTCTAGTCCTTTGTGCTT